GCATGGCACTTGGCAGCCAGATAGCGGCAAGCGAGGCTCGTTTGAAGAACACCTCCTCGGCTCCTTAAAACGTGCGAAGCTCGATGGAATTGAGCAGTAAGAAATAAAGTTTGGGCAAGCCAGTAAACATCTTGGATGTCTCCATTAGACAGGGATACAGCTTTATCTGCCCAAAATAAAGCCGTTTTGTACAAATGCATGTCTATATATTGTCGAACAAGGTTACGAAGTTGAGAGATATCAACCTTCCCGCCAGTCGCCATGTTGGATTTTTGGGGAATACCGCTTGCACGTCATAAATTTACCGTTGGCATAAAATTCTTTTGTGGGGGTGTGGAGAAGGGAGTTTAAAAAATATTGATCTACTAATTTAGTTATCTTTTAGTCCTTTGATTTTTGCTTCCCTCTGAATCAAAGTTATATACCTTATGTATGGTTCTGCATTATCGATATTTCAAATCAATTCTCAAACTTTTATTCCTTATTGATTCGTCCTTTCAGCTCTTGGCACCTCTCCCCACAGGCCAATTCGACTGGCCTGCAATAGTGGGGAAATGGCCGCGAATTGAGGAGGAATGTAGTTAATGAGTAGTTTTCCCTTTGATTTCTTCACCGCCGTGTCCTCATGAGGTTTATGGTTGCCATATGTTACGAGATATTGGTTAGTTTCTGCTGAGTTGTGGTTATTACAACTCCAGGTTTTGCGATCATGTCTTCCGGAGAGAAACTTCCCAAAGGCAAGAGCAAGAAAGCTGCTCCAAAGGCCAATTCTACAAAAGGTAAGACATTTTTTATGTCTGTTATGAAATTCGTTATCAGATAATGAACCTGGAGCCAATTGGTAAGTAAATTGTTGTTTAATAGTGCTGTTGAGAGACATCTAAACTTCACCAGGATGAAATGTAAATTTATTGTTTTCAACCATGTATTACATTCCAGTCAGTCTTACCGCCCTCCCGCTCAAATTGCGTGATCCACGTCTATGAAAAACGTTAGCGAAAGATTGAGATATCTTTTCCGATTCGATACCATCTATCTCTCTGTTTTTCTTTTCTTTTTTATTAATAACTAGGTAAAGAACCTCAGCTGAACGACCATCGATTCCGAGGAGAAGGAGTAAAATTCAAGTGCAAGGTAAGTTCTTCAATGTCTTCTCCTTCACGATTTAAACCAAATAGTTAAAACTGTGAATCGCCAACGCATCAGTTCGATGTTGGTTAGAAGCATACTATAATTTCAGTGTTATATTATTTTACGTATAGTAACGTTCAACAGATCTGCGATAGAACAATGATACAAATTTGTAAACAGTTAAAAGGTGATGTACATTTCAATATGTACAATTGTTTCATAGCTGTTATCTTTATTTCTTGTAGCTTGTAGGCACAACAGATGTAAACAATGCGAGAGGTGATGCA